GTTTTTCGCGCTGAAACTCTGGTTTTTGCACATTGCCCAAAAAATCTTCATTTTCTACAGCCACCCAAAAAGCATCTAAGATCAGTCCGACACCCAGGTAATTTATGATTTTGAAACAAAAATAGCAGACAGAAAACACACCCGTAGGGTAGTGGTGGTAGTAGAAGAAGAAGTAGTAGTAGTAGTAGTAGGAGTAGTAGTAGGAGTAGGAGTAGTAGTAGTAGCAGCATCAGCAGTAGTACTAGTACTAATACTAGTAATAGTAATGGTAATGGGAATGGTAATAGTATAATAGTAAGTAGTAGTAATAAGCAATAGTAATAGTTATAGTACTGGTATTTGTAATAGCAATAGTTATAATTACATGAACACTACGACTGGCATTCGACTAAGACTAAGACCAAGACTAAGAGTAACAGTAATTGGGTCAACTATTTCCCTGCAGCCTGGTTTGAGCGGAAGCAGCTCCATCTCTGTGGAGGCCGAGGGCCTTGAATATCTCCTTGCCTGCGTGCAGCGGCCCTTCCTGCAATGTTACCCGACGAGAGAGGCAACCGGGATGGGATTGTCGAAAGTTTGCAGGAAGAGCCCCTTATAAGCACTGACGCTGAGCTGGCGATGGGCTGCATCGCAGGGGTCCGACCAGCGACCACCTGAGCAGTAGATCGTTAGCAGCTTCGTGGCCGCTCAGCGAGTAAAGACTTGGTTTTGCGCCCGCCTGCCAAAGCCCTCCACCGGAATGTGTTTGATAAGTCTTATTATGTACTTGCATAGCCCTCGGGAGGTGTTGGCAGAAAGGCTTGTGTAGTTCGCCGTGCACTCTCGCGAAGGTGGCCGCACAAAGCTCCCTTGAAAGCCTGCGCGAGGTGCAGGGCAAAACTGGAGCAACCTAAGAGAACTCCAGAGCACGGGAAGCTGCCACAACCAGAACAGCTCGCTAGCTTGGGGCAGGACTTTGATACCAATGACGCACGAAACCCACAGTTCGAAGCTATGTTCTCAATGCCTTTTGATTCTGATTGCAGCATTTATCCAAACGCCATCATACCACCTCCAGCTAGGTCTGGGAGTCGGCAGTCAACAGAGAAGGGGGCGCTTAGTCTGTTTGAGGCCAATCGCCGCTCTGTTGGGCAAGGAATTCAAGCCCACTGTGCCTGGACCACAGTGGCAACATCATCTGAGCTATAGTCTAAACTTCTAGTATCTCCTTTAAGAAGCCCCTATAGTAGTCCCCTAAATAATCCCCTATATCTCCCCCTTTACGGAGTTTAGACGGTAGCCCATTTAGACTAGCATTTTGGATCTCGTCCGCAGGGATGGTCTGCGGGTGTGGGCTACACGGTCCTATCCCGCTTGGAGGCTACAGGGATGGCCCAGCCATCTGACCTTGATAGACTTGACAGGTCGCGCGGCACCCCAAGGAAGAGAGGGGAAAAGATGGACTCATGGTTCAGGTTGTTGCTCTGGAGAGGTGAGCTATAGTCTATCCTCCTAAAGGGGGGGGTATCTATAAGGGATTATATAAGGGACTAGTATAGGGGTTATCAAAGGGGATACCAGTAGTTTAGACTATGGCTCATGTAAAATGCATGCATGCTGTGCATGCTGGGTGAGGTGGCAATGGCAAGAGCTAACATGATATCAACCTGTCGTGCGCGAGGCACGTTAGTGCTCAAAAGGCGCCCAGCGGCTCTTGCGCGGGTGTAAAGTGTCGAGCTCCATAGGTAAAAGCTCCTGGACTTGCACCTTCAAGCGTGCAATTCCACGCCCTTACTGAGATACATGACGATGGCAATGACCGGGCCGCTTCACTAAAATGGCTAGGAGACTGGGCTGCTGTTAGGGAACTTAGTTTTTGCTAATACATTGGGGAAGCCATACTGATTGCTGTATACCCATAGTATGCTAACTTACGCCCAAACCCTAAATCCTAAACCTTAAGACCTAAACCCTATATACCCCTACTATGGTAACTTCATTCAAGTTCCTTAACAGCAACTCAGCTTCACCACTGTTACCAAAGCAGGGCATGGAAGAAAGCTGGTCTTGAATGTCAGAAGCTGCGACATGAGTCAATCAGGCATTGTGGGCCGTTATTACTGTCAGGCAGATTTCTCTTGTACCCTTAGGGTTTGTACCCTTGGGTTTTGGGCCCCTAAACCATGGAATCTGGCCCTTAATACGGGTATTTGGGACCCCAAACCTAAGGTTACACACATTAAGGCTACAAACTCAAAGTCTTTGATGCTTTGAAATTCGTATTTTCAGTATTATTAATTACTACTATGGTTACGATTTGTTATTCTGATCATTTCATTACTATGAATAGCTCCTGGTCTTGCTATCATTCTTGGTATTATTGCTAGCAAAGGCTGAAGCACCATGACCTGGATTTGCTGCAGTGCATCCTGGAGGCAGCACCGCCTGCAATGACACGTCATGACACGCATAGGGTTCAGGGTTAAGAGTTTTGAGCGCAACCCTGCTGATAGGTGAGCCTAGTGCAAGACACTGTAATATTGAGAAGGGTATCAGAGGCGCCAGCTCAGCTATGCATCCTCAATCTCGATCTAGCAGTGGAGGAACTGGAGCAGAAGGACGTGAGGAAAGCGAACGAAGGACAGCCACCTGTCGTGAATGAAATGGGTCAGGCAGGTAGTAGCCTTTGTTAGGCAGTGAACAAATTCCCACTGGGTCCATGTAGGCATATTGTACATACTTTGGCGGCAAAGTAGGTAAATAGGAATCCCTTTGCGCCTTGAGGCCCGACAATAACCCTTGGGCAGACCCCCTCGAAGTTGTTCCACGGACTTTGCTGCTGGCCGGTTTTTGCAAAATCCAGCCCCCAAACCCTAAACAGCTGGAATATACAACCCCCCAACCCCTTGAATTAGATATTCGCACTGTATCCCGTTGTTGTTTATAATGTGCTTGGAGTATCTAACATTGCGGGGTGCAGGGCTAAAGGTTAGGAAGAGGGGATTAGACCACATAACATCGTGCAGTAGCCTTTGACAGTAAGCCTGAAGTTTACATAGGCAGTTTAGGCTTTAGGGTCAAGGGCCCGTATCCGGCGCGGCCATCAGTCACAAAGATGAAGCTCCTTGGCTGGCTTGTGCCCCACACCAAAATATGGGTTTCCGGAAACAAGGGGTCCCTTTGAGGATCCCAATGATCAGGATTATTTCTGGAAACCCCCAAATTGTAAGTCATCATGGAGTAGCAGCAATTTTCTCCGTTTCCCTCATTCGCTCCGCCTGCTGAAACACTGCTAAACCCCAAACCCTAGCCAATAACATATCTGAGGCCGAAACGGCGGCCCAGGTGTATCTCGAGAGGCGACTCTGGCATTCAGGCCACAGGGATTCAGGGATTAGGATTTAGGGTTTGGGAGTAGGGTTTAATGATTAGAGTTTTGGGTTTTGGGTTTGCGGGTGAACTTGAAGGGTCATAGGGATTAGTAACCACTTATGACTGGGTTATGGTCCTGTTGATACTGCAACCCCGATAAGGCCCTTGGGTGGGGTATACAAGCAGTGTTATACTGCCCGTTGTAAGTAGATACTTAGTCCTATGAACCTCCAAGTGCTTGGGTGTCGATGAGGGGTTTCCAGGGTGTCAACTAGGAGCTGTCGGGCTTCTGGTGGAATTGCCATGAAGACATTTGCAAATGCAGAGCATGTATTGAGCAGATTTGACTTGAAGCCTGATACAGGAAGCCATATTTGTGATGAGGAGCCCTGAACCCTAAACCTAAGAGCCTTATCACTTGCCAGCAGTGGATTGATATGTTTGCGTGCTTCCGTTTTTCCCAGCCTGCATTGTATTAGTTGTTTCCATTTTCTTCTCCACTAAACCCCTGAACCGCTCTGTAACCCCTTGTGCTTCATCCCTATAGAACTCCCATGTAACTAGGAGTTTCTATTTTGTTTTCTATTGAATTTTCTTGTTATACCTTAAACCCTAGAATACCCCCTTGAATACCCTAGCCCCTAGACAGAACAGACTCCCTGGCAAGGCAGATGCGGAAACACAACTCCCCTCAGGCAGGCTGCAGAGCCGTGTGTTTGACTTACCACAGGTTAGCAAAGGACCAAGGCATGGATGCTTACAGTAGCCCCTACTCCTCTGGAAGTATTGGAGTCTCCAATTTGTTTTCCATTCCCCTACACAGCGCTCTATAACCTTAGTTCCCATGTCATTTTCCCCATTGATTTGCCATTTCATTCTCCATTATTGTAGATTTCCAAACTCTAAACCATAAACCCTAATCATTTCATTCCCTACCCTAAGCCCCAAATGCCAGGCTGTCCAAAATGAGGGGCCGGGTGTCCAGGCTGCCAGCCAAACCAGGCCTCCACCACCATCTGAAGAAAACTAGAGGCCTAGAGGCCTCGAGCCACCCCCAAACCCAAACTGGCAGGACAAGTCCAGGCTCAATCTCAACAAGGTAGACGGGTGCAAAGAACAAGTAAGAAGACAAAAGCACCATCAGAGTTCGAGAGAACCCTAA